TGTGTGTGTGTGTGTGTGTGTATCAGTGTGTGTCAGTGTGTGTGTATCAGTGTGTGTCAGTGTGTGTGTATCAGTGTGTGTCAGTGTGTGTGTATCAGTGTGTGTCAGTGTGTGTGTATCAGTGTGTGTCAGTGTGTGTGTATCAGTGTGTGTCAGTGTGTGTATCTGTGTGTGTGTGTGTGTATCAGTGTGTGTATCTGTGTGTGTGTATCAGTGTGTGTGTGTGTATCAGTGTGTGTGTGTGTGTGTATCAGTGTGTGTATCTGTGTGTGTGTGTGTGTATCAGTGTGTGTGTGCGTGCGTGTGTGTTCTGTCCTGATGTGTGAGGTGTTGATGGTTTTCCACACAGATCAGCAGAGTGAGCGGAGCTGCCGTGTCCACCAGAGGACGCTACCTGACAGCAGAGGAGAAGAGCAGAGCGCTGCCCAGGTCTGTCATCACATTCATCTGTTTCTGTTGTTTAGTTCATGATCAGGCTTTCTGAGCTCTACGAACACTAATGTGATGTTTCTGCAGTGACCGTCCGCTCTATCTGCACGTCCAGGGACAAACCAGAGACTTAGTGGACAGTGAGTGACGCGACTGATGCTTCACTTCATTCTGAGGATTCTGTGTGTGTGTGTGTGTGTGTGTGTGTTTAACATCACGCTGTGTGTGTGTGTGTTTAACATCACGCTGTGTGTGTGTGTAGAGGCTGTTAACAGGATCAAGGAGATCATTACTAATGGTGTAGTGAAGGCCGCCACTAACTCGAGCTACAGCGGAGCGATGGTCACCGTTTACCAGCAGCTTGGACCCGCTCCTGCACCCACAATCCCCTCTGCTGCTCACAAACCACACTATCCAGGAGGAGTGAGTACACACACACACTCACATCAGCGTGATGCACATGTGTGTCTCATCTTCACACCAGCCTTACCTTGTGTGTGTGTGTTTGTGTGTATCTCTGTGTGTGTGTGTGTGTGTGTCAGATGCATTACGTACAGGATAAGCTGTTTGTGGGTCTGGATCAGGCCGTGCAGGGCTTCTGTGTGAAGGAGCGAGTGGAGGGCCCCGGCAGCTCGTTCCTGCAGCACATTCAGGCCGAAACCGGGGCCAAAGTCTTCCTGCGGGGCCGGGGGTCCGGCTGCCTGGAGCCTGCGTCCGGACGAGAGGCCTTCGAGCCCATGTACATCTACATCAGGTGCGTGTACGGATCTCACACACACACACACTTACACACACACACACACAGAGTGACACATGTTCACCAGCGTTCTTCACCAGTGTTCACGAGTTTCTCTGTTCCTCCAGTCACCCAAAACCAGAAGGACTTGCTGCTGCAAAAACCCTGTGTGAAAACCTGCTGCAGACCGTAAGAGCGTCTCACTCTCTGCCTGTTATCAGTTTATTCTGCTGTGTGTCTGTATTTCTGAAGTCTTTTCAGTCTAGCTGCTGCACACAATGCCAAATTATGGCAATTAAAATAGCAGTAGTGCAACCAAATACATCAAATGAAGTAACACTATCTGTGATGTAGTCAGTGTGATTCTAGTGAACTATTACAGTGTTTATTAATTATTATAGTATTTATTAATTTTTTTAATTAGATTTTATTTTTATATTTTCAGTTTTAGCCATTTTAGGTGCTTTTGTCTTTTTATTAGTTGTTTTTCATTTCTATTTAATTTTATTCAATGTTTATTTATTTTAGTGTTTCAGCTTCAATTGATTTTATTTCTATTAGTTGCTAAGGCAACATTTCTTTTTGAGTAGTTTGAGTTAGCAGTATCACTGAGTGTGGTGTGTGTGTGTGTGTGTGTTTGTGTGTGTGTGTTTTATTCTCTGGCAGGTTCATGCTGAGTATTCTCGATTCCTGAATCAGATGAGCAGTGTGATGCCTACACAGGGTAAAACACACACACACTCACTCACTCACTCACTCACTCACTCACTCACACTCACTC